CTGCTGTCGGGACAGGAGGCGCTACATCTCCGGCAGGGAAGGTGCAGAAACACGAATAACCTGCTTGAGTGTGCAGGTCTCCAAATATTTCCGAGTTTGGTGTGTTGCTCAGTGCTTTGCCAAGTCAAAGTCTAAATCCTCTGATGTCTGAAAATTGGGATGGAAGCCCTAGCAAGTGGAAGCCTTGAGAACTTCTCTTGGTTTTAGTTGGAGTAAAGTTAAGCATCAGCTGAAGAACTGATTTGCCTCTAATAAGCAAATCATCATTTTACCGGGGAATATGCTTAGTTTACTCAGCCTTACTCGGTACTCAAACACATGTGTGGCTGAATTGTGTGTTCAAGCTTTCTCCTTACAAAGCTTGGCCTTTGCAACTGCTGGAAAGGTTGCACAAGAACAGCTTTTTTTTCTGCATATTTTTTACTTATGCAATTAAGTTAAAATCAATGTGATGCAGATAGTGCAAATGAATCCTTCATGTCATTTGAATGTCATTTTGTGTTTGAGTTGCTTGAATAACGTGTAGAAAATTAAAAGTAATTATACGGAAATGGAAAAGATGCTTTTTATTTTTTGCTGGGAAGATCTCTGGAATGAGAGCTATACCCTATAAGGGAATTGGGAAGTTATTTGGCTACATGCCTAAAAGCCACTTCAGACCTGTTCATGAATTTGGATGGCAAGCCAACGTCCATTTTAATTCACTGAAGTGCTTAAAAAAACAGCAGAATTTATTAGGCCGTATCTAGGAGAGGTTAAATTCACATTCATTCTGTACTGGAGTAGTAACAGCTGCTGTGAGGATTAGCCTTTTGGCTGGTGGGATAAAAGAAATGCTGGCTAGTTGTACTGGAGAGGGAAGCATAGCAGGTTAATATAACTTATAAAATAATATCAGTTTTCATTACACAGGTTGATTAAATTTTTATTTGTTTTATGTTTGGACTGAGGTAACAGTTTTAAGACAGTGAGTATACTAAATAGGATGCTTTATATTTGAATATTTTAAAATGCAGCACCAACTTGAAGTACCAGTGGTGTAATGCCTGATAAGAAAATAAAAAGTCTTTTTTTCGCTGTAATTAGTATGCTGAACGCGTCGCAGGACAGTTGCTGTTGGAAAATTGCAACCATCTGATGATGGGTGACTGTCCCCTGTGAAACACTGGTGGTCTAAGTCTGGATTCTGTTGGAAAAGTGTCAATATAAAATCACCCCCCACAGTTGGCATTAATTTGCTTTTTGTTGGTCACTTCAGGAGAGCGAAAGGATCGGATGGCTGCTGAAAGCCAAGTGCTTTGGTTAAGATCTCAGGGAAGAAGAAAGCAGAAGGGGAGTTCAGGGGCCTGCGTTGTCGCTTTGCCTAATTAGGAGGTAAAAGAAAGAGCTGTAGTTTATCAGGCTTTCTGATTAATAAATACATCAAAATAGTAGTAAGCAATCATTAGGAAGGAGGATTTTTTTTTCTTGAAAAAGTTCACTGAAAATCCAGTGAAAATGCAAAATCTCAAGTTTAGTAGCTGTGCAATCAGTGCTCCTGGGGAGAAACAGACTGGATCCCTTCAAACTATGCACGTGTCTGTAGTTGGTGGCATGAGCTTTTTGAAATTAACGGGTGATTCTCTTGTCCCTGGTAAGAAGGAAGCGTGCAATCATGTGGAACATTTTCCTGAGGGACACCCTGGACTGGGTCGGAAGCAGTTTTCACTAAATCTGCACAGATTAATCTGAAGAGAAGTTAATTTGTACTGAGAAGGTGGAGAGGATTGAAGTAAAGAGGTGACACAAACCTTATGTCATCAGATCATCTTTGAAGGAATAATACCAAACTGACCACCCAGGGCACAACTGTGGGTAGTTCTGCTGGACAAACCACAGTTAACAGGCAGCAGCTGAGCTGCCTTCCTGAAATTAATGTCATGAGCTGAACGGGAGCCATAATCATCCTGCATGAGCAGCAGCTTTCTGTCACCGGTGTAAATATCCCTCCTGAGAGGGAGTGGGGGACACCTTCTGTGTGCAGGAAATCTTCCAAGTTTGTTGGAGCTATCCATTTTAGCAAGTGTTACCACTTGCTAAATGTAGGTTGAAGGTCCTGCTACCTTTTATTTGTGCCTCAATTATTTAATATTTAAATTCTGAAAGTGGAAAACAAAAAGTATTTTTGATTTAAAATATTTTTGGTTTTAATTTTGCATATATACTATACATTCATGCTATGTTTTTCTAAGCCAGAGAGGGGCAAGACTGAGATTTTTTCAAACACTTAAGAAAGAAAGTGCCCATGTAATTGTAATGGATAATAGAAATGAACTGTTTTCAGTAATGACACTGATTTACCTCTGTCTCACATAAAACTGCCATAATCTCACTTTAATAATGATAAATTAAGTGTATACGAATAGTGCTTCCAGTAATTGAGTTTATATACATTATTTATAGTAGGGATATAAATCCCACTTCAGTTTATATTGTTTTCTGTTTTCTTTGCTACGCTTTAAGGGCTGGTGCCAAAGCCTATTAAAGCCATTGGAAGTCATTCACTGACTTCAGTAAGCTCTGAATTAATTTCATATTTTTCAGGCTTTATTCATACTTTCTGCTCTAGTAATGTTTCGAATTTTAAAGCGTATATTGTCAAGAAAAAATAATAATAAGCATTCAGTATCAGTCATTCAAAATAAGGCAGCATTTGAGTAATTGTTGTTTGCTTCCTTCTTATTAAATTTTTAAGCTCTCTCTCATTCCATTTTTATTTGAGGTCCCATCTCGCTATTATCATTTTCTGAATCCATCTGAATCCAACTGGAGAGGCCAGTACTGTGCCGGGCAACACACATCTTGAAGTGCAGGCAGGATAGGGCCTGTCTGATACCTTTGCAGTACAAAGAAAGGGCGATGGAGAGGCAGGGTAATGTATGGATTCGACTGCACTTCACGAGTCAGACCTTAATGATAACCTGTCATTCCCCCCACTATTACTAGTAGTCGACACTATTCTCTCATAATTTGACTTTCCTCTATTTGTGTTGCGCTGACACGGACTCTCCATGGGACATTCTGACACTTGGGCTGCCCAGCTAAAACCTAGGTGAGTGTTAACTCTCGCATATTGTCAGAGGTTTCATAAAAATCCAAGTCAGATAAGTCTGCTAGTCGCTTTCGCATGTTTTGTCTCGCTACGGATGTAGCCTGGAGACATGATTTTTCTGATGGTTAATCCAAGTTTTCTAGAACTATTGTATCATTTTATGAGTTTTTATTTATTTTATCAATTAATTCACTTGACACAGAAGTGTGTTTTCCTACTTATAAATAGCTGCAATACCTTTTTAATGATAAGTGCAATATCTTTTCTTCCAGCCTTTTCTAGTGATAGCTGATTTTATTAAAAGGCACAAGCCCTTTATTTCTTTCCAAAGTAGGTGAATATATTCTTCTGCTGATAACCTATTGCTCTTAAATAGATTATTTTTTTTCCAAGATCAGCTCTCTGAGAATTTTCTCTGTTCATTTTCTTCCAATTAAAAGAGTGTTTTTAGAGGACACAGAGTGATCCTTATTGTTGTTTAATGGTCCCATGCCATTCCCTTCCCATTTTTTCTTTTTTTTTTTTTTCAATCTTCTTATAGTCCTTTCACAACTTCTCTTATTCTGGTATCTGTAATGAGCTTTCTTTTAAACTCCTAGTTGCACATCACACTGCATTTAAACCTTCCACCTTTCATTTATGATGCTTTGAATTTGTTTCATTGCCTTGTTTTCTTTCTTTTTTTCCCACAAAAATCATTTTTCATGGAAATGTACTCTGCTATTTGATCAAGAGAATCTTCTCCCTTTTTTTTAATGCTGTGAAGAGCAATGCCCATCTGTGCCTTGCTGTTGTATGTTAAATAGCCTCCATGATGAGACTAATTTTCCTACACAATTTCTTAGCCATACCACACTGAAGTATTTTTTACAGTATTTAAAATAAAAACCTCTGCCTTCTAAAGGTGGTGCTGTTTTTTATTTTATTTTTCTTTTCTTTGGATCCAGAATGTAATACAATTCAAATTTTCCTAGGCAAACAAACTGTGCATTTTAAAAAGTCATTATAAAGACAGGATCCTGGGGGTCTGACAGAAAAGCTAAAACAGCTGTGTTTTCCAGTACAAACAAGAAATAAATCTACAGTATCTTCTCTTTGTGAGCAAATAAATGAAAGAAAAGGCTCAGTATATGATTTTTTTTCTCTCACAGGAGCAGAGCCACAAGAATCTAGCATCAGTTTAAAACAAAGCCTTTTTTTCCTTACTCATTTAAGATCTAAATTTTTAATTAGCTTTAGCAAAACTATTTTGATTCAGCTAGTCAATGAACTCTGTTTACCTGCTTGGTATGAAAGTTGTCTTTAAGCCCAAGATTAAATGACAGTTCAGAACTGTTTCTGGTGTTTATTGTTGTTTTCTTTCCATCCAAACTAATCGGTGACATCCTAGAAACAAAAATAGAAAATTTATTTAAATAGTTAACAGGCTGTTTTCCTCATCTATTCCTAAGTAAATCTCTTGACATTTATTAGGTTGTTCACTAAGCTATTAAGAAGACTCCCATCCATTTTTGGACAAACTCTTGGAGTAGAGTAACAGATATCAGTATCTGATTTCGAGAGCAGTACGGACAAAAATGATTCAGCTGGTGCTATACCTGTTTAATCTAGGGAAAAAAAATATGTGTGTGTATATATATTTCATATATATCAACTCTCTGTTTTCAGAGAGTACAAGTATCCTAAAAAACCTGTACACTCGTTCTGGCTGATCTGTTCATTTACTGATTTGTTACCAGAGCTCTTTCTTGTGTGAATCCATAATCCCTATATGCCTGGCCAGGCCATACATGATGTGATCATTAACATATGTCAATGTCTGTACATTTGGACTAGAATAAATGGTTGGATCTTTCTGAGGGCACATATCACATATCATAGCTGGGCAGCTGGACAGATCTAGTAGTGGCTTTATAAAATGTTTCAAGGAAAAAAAACAGCCAACAGCCCAGCGTGCCAGGAGAAATACTAGTGTCAGAAACACAAAAAGTGTAGGCCTACCTCTGGCCCACACACTGTATGCAGCTTGTCCCGTTCCTCAAAGGTGTGAATGCACAGGGCATGCTCTCCTCTCTGATTGGGAGCAGGATGAAAAGCAATTGTGCTGCAAGTAAGTACATTGAAAATAAAGGTGAAAAACTGAAAGTGCCAGGAACCCAAGGGTTTCTGTTTGGCAAGTTAGGTGGTTTTTTTTTTTTCTCTTCATTTTCACAACTGGAGAGCAAAAAAAGAATGTCTTCATCCTCCCTTACATTTGCCCTTTGCTGGTCTAGCTCTCTCAGTTGTGCTTCCTCCCATACACTCACTCCAGCAAATGCCAAATCTTCTTAGAAAATACTTCAGTTTTATTCAGGTGGAAAATAAATAAATATTTTCTTTCAGGTTGCTAAGTTGAA